TTTTAAAATTTTGTAACAATATTAATCATGATATTTTTTAAACTAAAATGATCTTATCGAGATTAAAAAAATCAAAAGCATATTTAGGAAATAATGAACATCGTGTAATTCGCTCAACTAATAATGTTGTAAAATTTGAAGAAAAAGATAAATAAATCCAACCAACAAAATTGTAAGATTGTAAATATACTTCAATCACAATGGTTACATTTAAAAAAAAAAAAGAAGCAATATTTAAAATTAAAAAATAAAAAAAATATTGTTTTTGTTTAAAAGTTTAAAAGGCCCAAAAGTTAAAACAATAAAAAGCCCAATACCACAGCCCTTCATCTTCATCTTCTTCCTCAGTCTTCGTCTTCTCTGGCGTGGAAGAACCCCTTCTTTGGCAGCGTTTCTTCATCTTCTTCTGGCAACGCTTCTTCTTCTTCTTCTTCTTCCCTATCATTTCTGGCTCTGCAAGACTGCAACAATGGAGGAACCTGACCGTGTCCGGTTGAAACTTGCCGTGTCCGACCCGTATTTCATACCCGTACCAGTGTCATGTCGTGTCGACACGGGTATGGAGGCCAAAACGCCGAGTCCGAGCAACACAGGTTGAGTTGCTACAGATGCCCCCACAGGAACTGGACCCAATAAGGTCACTCAACTGTCCAGAAAATCGATTCTCCTGAAGAGCCAAATTTGCTAATATTGGCAGCCGAAATAGATTTTCAGGTAAACCACCAAAGAGAAAATTGGAACTAAGGCAAAGATCCTCCAATGAAGTACACTTCCCTATTCGAAGCGGCAGATTTCCACTCAAGTTATTGAATAAGCCAGAAAGACGACTGGACGGGAGGAGCTTGACTCACAGAGAAACGAAGACAGTGTGCGTTTTTGACCGGACTCGATCTTTTTGAAGGACAATGATTCTAAAAGACTGCGTTAGTGAGTGCGTGCGATTTTTTTTTTTTTAAACTTGAAAGACGTTATGAATCAAAACTTGAAAAGCGATAACATATTAACAGACAAATTGATAGCTAAAAAAATTTTGGTCGGGCGAGCAGCGCAAAAGCGCCACTCACCGGAAACGAAATTTAAAGGTTAATTTGTTTAGGATCGAA